GTTTTCGACCCGGTCGCAGACCGACGACCCGCAGGAAACTCCGGTATAGCTCGCGGACTCCGCCGGGTCGAAGACAGGGTCAGATTGCTTGTAACAAAGCTTGCACGGCTGACACTGAACCCAGACCATGTCGCTGCCTGAATCAATAACCATGTACTGATTCCTCGGTGGGCTTCCGACACCGATCCTCACAAAGTATTCCCCACTTCCTTGATCCATGCCCGAAACCACATCGGACCCGAAATCGTCGATTTCGTAGCTCTTGTCCGCCGCAGTTTTGCCCGAGATGCGACGGCTGACGGCGGTGACTCGTTCCACATCCCGACGCATACGGGCATGGAGGCGGTGGCGGTGGTTCCGGTAGCTGACGGAGGGGAAATTGTCGCGGTGCACGACCCGAACCCTCGGTAGTTTTCCGCCGCCGCCACCAAGACCAGTATGATTCACCGGATGTTGTTTTCCGGTAACAGGAGCTTCTCCGACGGTCATTATTTGGAAATCGGGGAGAGAAAGAGAGGAGGAGATTGTGGCGGTTGCTAGTAGATGTATGAGGACTAGTAGAGGGGACATTGTCTTCTTTTTTTTTCGGGTGAGAAAGAAAGTTGCTTTGAGCTTTTGCGTTTTAAAAACAAAGAAAATGATATGTTTCTTTAGGTCTTTGGGTATCTTGGGTTTATGTCTTTGGTTTGATCTGAATTTATTTACACTTCGAGTTTGAGAGAGAGAGAGAGAGAGAGAGAGAGAGAGAGAGAGAGAGAGAGAGGGGAGAAACGGAGGGAGCGAAGATTTTTGTTTCATTCATCTCTCTCTCTCTCTCCTTCGTTTTTAGGTGTTTGCACATCGGAAGTAACACTTTTGATTTCAACGCAAAGCCCAAAATTTCTATAAAAATATTTCAGTTGATTCCAATGTCAATGGAGTAGTCTTTGAGCTTTAAGCGATTAACCCGAATTTTTCTTGGATTTTATTTTGAATTTGGGATAATATTGGGGGGGAAATATAGCTTCTTTTTCTCTATGGCAATGACCATTTTAATCTATTGATTTGGAAGATTAAGAGTTTCGAATTTTGTATGTTAATTGGGTGTTTTTATTCCACAAAATCGGATATACTCGTTAGTTAAAAAAATTGATTAGAAATTAGAATAATTTCATATTATATACATGTAACGAATACATGTATAATTTAATGGAAACACGTGAAATGAAAGAGTCCAATATAATTGGTTTGTCACAAAAGCTCTCATATATCATATATGGATAGATTTTTTTAGATCAATTGTAGCTCTGCATATATCGATATTTTTTTAATTCGATTAATCTAATTTTGAAATCGATTGTTTATCATTTTTTTCAAAACCAAATTAGTAATAAAAAATCGAAGGTTTATTTGTGAATCGAATTTGAAATAATGAAATTATACCCGGACAAAATTAGAATACAACAACAACATTTTCTTATATACAATTTATTTGCGGTTAGATACATTCTGACAATACCCAAATTTTTTTTGGCATATCCAAACTCATGGACAAGAGATCGAATTTCAGCTCTCAGTATTCGATACATTTTAGAGTAGAGATAGGCCAACGGTTCAATTCGGATTAATCGATTTTGATTAATTTAGATTCGGTTATTTTGGTTTTTAAGAATTTATAACCAAACAGTCATTTAATTTTATTCGATTCGGTTTAATTTGATTTCTATTATTTAGAAGTTTGAGAGTTCATAACCAATCGGTTATTTGGTTCGATTCAATTAATAATCGAGATAACCAAACCGACCCCTAATTTAGAGAATGTGTTTTAGATGCCTTTAAAACTAGGTAAATTGAATGATAATTGAACTAAACCATAGAATTAGGTAAATTTAATTAATCTAGTTAGAATATTCCATTCTTGAATTTTTTTAATACTCGAAAAGTTTACAGTACTTTCGATCCAATTTCATCTCTCCGAGCCCGGAAGGAATGGCCGAATAATAACCAATTGAGCCGCCAGTCTTTGATTGAAATAAATCAGTTAAGGAAAGCTTCCAAAACTCGAGAATATTGGTAAACTCTCGACTATTAGCACGGTATAAGTCTACGTGTAAATCAAAGTGTTATATACAAATGATTCAACTTGTAACATTGATAAGGAAGATTGGTTCCAAACTCTCGACCATCAACACAACAGTTGCGGTGCTGAGGTTGCTGTCTAAGTGAATTGTTAGTTCGGTTCGATTCGGTTTGATTTTTATCCTATTTTGATTTGTATTGTGAAAAATATTCATTCTCAAAAAAAAAATCCGGTTTTATTTGGTTATTTTTATATTTCGTTCGTGTTCAAAATTTTCTACATTTAAAAACTTGTACTGAATTTTGTATCGAATATAGTTCGAATATGGGTGCGTAATTGGTTCGACTTTGCACAATCGAACCGAAATGAGACCGCCCCACAAGCCAGCCGCGTCGATCACTAAATAAAACAACGAAAATTCTGTAATGCGGACAAAAAGAGTCGAAAATAAATACAAAAACAATGATAAAATCGGAGAGATGCGTAATATCGTAGCCAAATTGCGTGTTTAATTATCATGTGGTTGCTATGCGATGATGGTGAGGAATCCTTTGATCATCTCTTTTTCGGATGTCAATACTCTGGGCCATTTGGTTGAGGCTGCTCATCCATTCTCAACTTTAGATACAACAACACTCATCTTTTCTTTGAACTGATCGACTAGATTAGTAATTGTTGTATCGAGAAGTGCCTCAAACTAATGCTCATTTTAGTTACTCAAGGCGACATCTACCATATTTGGCGGGAGAGAAACTTAAGGTTCCATGACTCAAGCTCTAAGCCTGGAGATTTATTGGTTAAGGAGATTCTTACTCACACTCGTCGGAGGCTCACTTCCATCAGAATGAATTGGAAATGTATTCACCCGAACGACACATTGCTTTCTATGTGGTTTCATCTTTTTGAACACGTCTGATTCTGGTTGTACTAGCTCTCGAAGACTTGGGTTGCTTATGTTTTAGGCTGTAAAATCAGCTGTTAGGGAAGAGTTGTTACTCTCTTCCCGGCTTGTATGAACATTATAGATATATAACATTTACGTTTTTTTTAAAAAAAAAGCCAAACAATTCGAACTGAATTAAATCAAAATTGGATACAGAACTAAATGAATACATAATTTTTAAAAGAGATATTTGCCAAAAAAAAACTTTTACTCTTCTCACATGATAAAAAAAACTCTATATTTTTTCGTTACTAGTTAAACCCTATATTTATTATAATTAGTACATAAAATCCTGAATTTTTTAGAAATTCGTCCAAAAACTCTCATGTTTGAAAATCTCGAACAAAAATGATGATTTGATATTGACATGATTTTCAAATAATGCATAAATAGACATAATATCACATCATCATATCAAATAAATTTTAAATTAAATAATTTATTCAGATTAATATATATATATATAAATTTATACATACACACATTCATATATGACATTAAAAATAAAATTAATTATAATTAATAAAACACATATATATATATATATACAATGTTATATATATATTATAATTAATATATATACATATTGTGACACCCGAAACCCGTGTCCCGCGAAAACCACGAGTTGCGCCACATGGACTGTTGGGTTTCCTGGGATCTCATGAGCGAATCTAATTCCTAAGAGATCGATTCTAGGGTTTGCGCAGCGGATATAAAACAAAAATTTTAATGAAACCCTAGAACCATGCTACTATTGAATCATAGAAACGTTAGAACGCTTACCTCAATCGATCCGGGGCATGTATCAATTGATCTGTTCGTCCGATCACTCTAGGCAGGAAGAATACCTCGTCCTCTACACGTATCTACACGTCGGGATGGATTCCAACACCTTGGAACTTGTCTGCTAGGACTAGAGATCTCGATCTCTCTTGTGTGCAAGGTTTTTGGAGGCTTAGGGTTTTATTTTTCTTCTTTTTTTCTTTACTTTTTTTTTTCTTTTTTTAAAACCCTAGAAGACATTCTCCTTATATAGACTTTCCAAAAATCCTAATTTGACAAGGAATAGATTACTAGGAATCCTAATCTAATTAGGTTTCCTAAACCTATTAGAATTCTAATCTCATTAGGTTTCCTAGATGTAATAGAAATCTAATCTCATTAGGATTCCTATACATAACAGGACTCCTAATCCCATTAGGATTCCTATTCCAATTAGGAATCTCAATCCAATTAGGATTCCTAATCGGGATAATTTCGCACACGTACTTGTCCATCCCTATTGTGTGTGACCCTGTAGGCTCATCCGGAATAGCAGTAAAACGCAGAATCTCCATTCCGATAATACAAGTCATAGGCGGTCTCTAGCAAGACACTATGACTACCTATCTCGAATAGAGTTTGTTTGTGATCATACGAAAGCCAGTGATGATTCCGACTGATGATCCTTTTGTATCGCGATATTTACATCGATAAGGTCTTGAAATGGTTCAAGATGCAAGATTCCAAGAAAGGAACCTTACCGATGAGCAGTGGCACAGTTCTCTGCAAAAGTCAGTGTCCTACGACACCTGATGAGCGAGAACGCATGGATC